TCATTGGGTTCCAGAACTGTTTGAAAACAAAACTTGTAGGAACCAATAATATATTCTCGAAATAATACAGCAGAAAAATTTTTGGGACCCTGGGAAATTTTCTAGATTCTTCTGTGTTTCAATTTCTTTGTCTGTAAATTTGAAGATTGCCAGCAAGCAATTATAGGTCCTTTCTGACTTTTGTCTGCCCATTTCACATTTTCATTTTGGTTCTATTTTCCTTCTTGATTCACGAGCCAGATGTGCCCCATCTGGCAAAATTTGGCTGAAAAGGATCAAGAGTGTGTGCTGAAATATGAGACAGCAGACTGGAAGAAGATTTAGAGGATAAGGAGGAGCGCTCAGTAGAAGAAGGAAAAGAGAAAGTTTATAATAAGTGAAAAATTCTGTATGAACTTTTTTTTTCTACTTTCATCTTTATCTTTTTTTTTAAAAAAAGAAATTTTATTTTCCTTTATTATCTTTTTTTTGTGTTTGTGTATCATCAAATTGGATCTGATTGGTACAGAAGGAGATTGCCTTCCTTCTCCACAAGAACATCTAATGGATTCGAACTGTGTACCTCTGAAATTGCAGCATAGCTTCTTGCCACTAGGCCACCAGAGCTCCCTAGTATGAACTTGATAAAGGTGCCAAAAGGAAAATTCTGTATGAACTTGATAAGACACATCACATGGAGATGTTCATAGGGGGGAAAGTATTCAGAACCACAATACTCACCTGTCTAGACTCAGCCTTTACTATAAAGATTGTGAAGAGTATCTTGGAATAAAATGAAAATGCAAGGTGGTTTGGAAAACAGATTTAAAGGGAGGGGCCCAAAGAAAGGCAGAGTGGAGTTTGGCCAGCCTAGAAAATGTCTAAATGGGTTGTAGAGGCAGATTGATGTCAAGGCCTGGTTTTGCCACTTCCCAGCTCTAAGATATTCTACATCTTCTAACCTTCCCTGTATTGCAGCATCTCATCTATAAAATAGGATAAAACCTATGCTCACATCTTTGGACGGTTATGGGGTTAAGGGGTATGTAGTAATAAGAGCCTCCACATTTTCTTCCTTTTTAAAAAAAAAAATTATACTATTTTATTTACAAAATTCAAAAACATTATTTTCCAGAACAGACTCTTCCAATTTCTCTCAACCCCCCCCACCCAGCAAATTGTACAGTTCCATGATGAGTGTTCACTCTGTGCTCGGCACGTACGCAAATGTACCAGTGCACCACCCGGGCCTCAACACGGGCCTGCCAACCGCTAATAAGAATGTAATGAGTTGTGCCTGTTGTTACGAACGTAACAGTGTCTTGAAAAGATCACTTGGCTGCACTTTCATCCTGCTCTGTTATTAACTAGCTGTGTAGCTTTTGGTGCAGTTGCTTAACTTCTCTGACTCTCGAGTGACTCATTCATAAAATGAGATTATTAAATTAGATCATCTGTAAGGCCCTTTTCAACTCTAAAATGCTGTGTGATTCTGAAAATAGGATTTATTTAGTGTTGAGAAGAGATACTAAAACATGTCTGATTATTATAAGTATGAGGGATGGTGATCAGCTGTTTCTCTTCTGACTGAGGACTGGACAGGAGGCAGCAAGCTCTAATTATTTTAGATTAGAAGTTTGGAAGATGTTAGATTTGTGAGAAAGAAGAATATGTCATTGGAGTAGACTGTGGCCCTGTGCACAGAGAAATCATTAAAAGATACAGTTGGCTTTTTTCTGACACTTAGGCCTTCCCTGATCCCTGACTCAAAAGCTGACCCCACCCTATTAGTCTATCATTTTTCATTTTTCCCTCCATAATACTTAAAGACAAATTGTAATTATATATATAATACATGCAATATTGCCTACTATAATATATGTTTTATCTATCTATCTATCTATCTATCTATCTATCTATCATCCATCCCTATCTTCAGGGTTTAATATCTCTTCCTTTGTATCATAAACTGTCTAAAGAGAGGACTCATCTTTCTTTGATTCACTTCCTGGGAGTCTAGTCCCAACAAAGCCATATTTCAATACTGATTGAATAGATAAATGGATGCATTTTGGAGGTAGATTTTTTTAGCTCTCAAGTTTCCTTTAAAATAACCTCAAATATCTCTCAGGAGGTATTAAATATTTTTTTCTCCTCCCTACTTTGATTTCTTGGAGGCTACTCATGTGTCATCATTTCTCCTCAGTTATTTGGAAAGGTCCCTGACAACACACTTGTCTAATGCAGGGCGTCTCCTTATCTCCTGACTGGCAGTGTCAAGGGGGTTTATTGTTGATCCAAGTTAGGTGGAATCATTGACAATTTCACTTGAAGACTTAGGTGTGCCTGATGTAGACAAAAGCCTTTTCAATCACTTGCTCTACATCTGAGAGCTGGACGATAAATAAGGGTGACAGAAGAATTGATGCCTTTGAATTGTGGTGTTGGAGAAGAGTAGTGAATGTCCCATGGACTGCCGAAAGAACAGAGATGTCTCAGAAAAAGTGCTCCAGAATGCTCCTTGCGAGCAAGGATGGCTTGAAGTTTTTTCCTCACATATTTTGGGCATGTTGCTAGGAGAGACTGTTCCTTGGACAGAGATATCATACTTGGAAAGGTGGAGGGTCAGTAAAAGAAGGGACAACCCTCCATCAGGTGTAACTGTAACAATGGGACTCGTGTGTCAGAGATGATGTAGATGGCACAGGATAGAAGATGGTTCAGATCTGTTGTTCAGAGGGTCGCTTTGAGTCATCCTCTACTTGACAGCACCTAACATTAACAGCCATCCCTGGACGTATGTTTGTTTAGACTTAATATGATGACCAAGTGTGTCTTTCTCATAGCTTGGTCATAGAGGTATAGGTGCAGTTCCATTTGCGTCCTTTGAATAAAGTCCCGTGGAGGCAGGAGGCACAGTACTGATTCTGTTCTATGTGCTACTCTGGATGTAGTCTCCTTCTTTTAGTGTTACACCATTCCCCAGGAAGACTTTATCAATGAGGCTCTTTTACTCACTGCTAGCTTCTAGTTGAAGTTGGCCGATGGAAGCTACCGGCAGGAAGACAGAGAATGGCAGCAGAGGAACGTGGGCTTTGCGTTTCCTTGCTGCTTGTTTGCATATTGACCACATATTGACCATAGTCCTCCCTGGGTTCTCTGTTGTGACCTTCTTGCCAGGTTCCTGGAAGCACTCTTGTCCTTGGAAGTGGAGTAATTGTGGCTCCCCACCATCTCTTCCCTGGGTTGCTTTAACAGTCTGTGTTGGTTCTTAGTCTTATCCACATCTCTGAAAATCGTCCTCTCACTGACTCTCCTCAGTTCTCCCATGGAAAGACAAATGGGAAACTTGCTTTTCTCTCTGTTTTGAAGGGACCACTACATCCTATTCTTTTACCCATTTTACTTGGTAGAGACCATGCATTTAATTGCCAGCATAGTGCTATGAAGTATAACTTTAAAAGAGTTGAGGGTGTGTATTTTGTAGTAACTAAAAATATGATTACTCCTTCTGAAGATTAAGTTCATTGCCATTGAGCTGATTCAGAATCATATACATCCCACCCCCTCCGCATGCTTCTGAGGTATTAAATCTTAACGTTCTGTGGACAGTGCTAGTCGAGCCTGAGAAACCACATGATGGTTCTACCCTCTCTTACAGGGTCACCATGTGTTGGAGTCAACTGGAGGTCACACAAGAACAATACTAGGACTTTCTGTTCTGTTTTTAATTTTTAAATTTAATTTTTTAAAAAATACATGTAAAATGTCCAAACCATTTGTGCATTAATGTCACTCATCATTTTATACAACAGCCACCACTATCTGTTTCCAAATTTTTCATCATTTAAAAACCCCTCTGTCTGGCTTGTGCAGTATCTGCTCATTTTTCCCTACCTGAGGCAGCCATGAGTAGATTTTGGTCTCTACATGTTTCATCATAGTTGGAAGAGTGGGATCTTACCTTTTATGCTTAACTTAGTTCACTCAGCCTACTGTTGTTGTTTTTTTAAGGTTAATCGATGTTGCAATGAGTATCAGAATTTATTTTCTCTTTATGGCTGAGTAATATTCCACTATATGTATGTATTTTCTTTATCCATTCATCTATTGATGAACACTTTGGTTACTTTCAACTTTGACTATTGCAAATACTCTGAACATTCTGTTTTCAATGGAAATCAAACCAAACCAACCAACCCTCAAACCCCCAAACCAAGAAGAAACTTGGAGGAAGGAGTTCAACTTTTCTTTGATATTTGTCATCGACAGAGCTGGCTCTGCTGTCACTGCTCTGCTGACTGGGACCAGCCTTGGTTGGCTGGTCTAACTCTTGATGCCTTCAGAATGAATACCCTGGTGGTGTGAGCAGATAGTGCATCTCTCATTCCCTACTCTGGGACTAGGCATTTCTACGCACGCACTCCTTCTCTTCCTTTGTCTTTAGAAGCCTCTGCTTCCCCTGTGAGTTGATTAAAACAGCCTTTCTGGAGCAGAGATAGTTTAAATGGAGTGAACCTGGGTGGGAAGCCAACATAGCTAAGGAGAGGTAATGAAGTTGTGAGACAAAGGTTGAGCTAGAGAAAATGTTCATAATTGAGGCCAACATTGGTCTATAGCATTAGAGCTTTCAAAGCGCCATAATGTTAGCACATAGGGTTAGTTAGACGTTTTGTTGTCCTGACTTAATAGATGCAAAAATGGATTCTGGGCTCCTGATGTGCCTTTTTCTGTGCCATATGCCCTGGAGACCAGGCTGTCTGACCCCACAGCCAGCTGGCACCCTTTCTGCTTTGCCTTCACTGTCTCTGAGGCTGTGGGCAAGGCGAGAATCTGCCTCCAGGTTTATGAACTGCAGAAAGAAATGTTGGATCCATTTCCAATGTTCCTGTTCTGTGGGAGAGAGAACAGCCACCTGCCTCCTACCCAGGGCTGCTGGTCTCTGCCTGACCTCATGGACCCTTCTTTTCACTCCTGCCGTCTCTCATGGCCTGACTCTTGCTCTTTGTGGTTGTTTTCAGAAGTGGAGCTGCCCCTCAAGAAGGATGGTTTTACCTCAGAGAGCACTACCCTGGAAGCCTTGCTCCGTGGTGAGGGGGTGGAGAAGAAGGTGGAGACCAGAGAGGAGGAAAACATCCAGGAAATACAGGTATTTCTGGTCTGCTGGGGCCCCCGGACCATTGCCACCATGTGTTTCTGGAACACCAGCGCCAGTTTTGGAATCTCTGCTCCACCTGTATTCGTGGTTCAGTTGCCTGCAAGCTGACAAGTTCATTTCTGTTTAAGATGACTCCTGGAAAAACTCATCTTTCTGTCTTTTCCTATTTCTTGATTTCCCTATGGATTAATTCCAGAAGTGTGTATGGAGCCTGTTGAGTGCAAGCCAAGTCTGGTGCGACTGTGATCAGCTAGATAGAACCACCTTTCATCTGGCCTTGGAGACTTGAGCTGTCCACCCCAGCTAGTCCCTTCCTTTCCTCATGTCCCAGGCCCCCTAAGACTTTAGTCCTTTCTATGCCTACACCCACCTATCCTTCAAGGCCAGCTTAGGTGTCACCCTCCAGGAAGGGCTGCTCGCTCCCTTCCATGTGTGATAGCAGTCCTAGAGCTCTCGTGATGCCAGACTATCCTTATGTCCTCCAGCTGTTCTCATTTTTTACCCTGAACCACCATTGTATAACACAAGTATTGTGTTAATATTACAATGATAGGGAGCTCGGGTGGCCTAGAGGTAAGGAGCTACACTGCCATCCTAAAGGCAGGTGGTTTGAATCCATGAGAAAAAGATAGACAATCTCCTCCTGTGTGTCTTCTGTCTCTGAAACCCACTGAAGGGTTTTTGGTTTATTTAATAAGCACCGCCAGTCTGTGAGTTCCAGACAATCAGGTTCACAGTACAGAGTCCTTTATCAGTAAAGAGGTGGGATAAATCAGTGAAGGGTCAGCTATGAGTCTTTTATGACTCAATGGTACTCAGTGGTACACAACAACAACATAAAAAATAATAATCTACTGGCCTTTGGAAGCAGGAAGTGGCCCTCTCTTCCTAAATAACATGCCTCTGGGAACGTGATGAACTTTGAGAAATGTCTGTATTTGTAGAGGGACTTCAGGCCTTTTGTTCATAGGGTCCCTATGAGTTATTCTTGACTCAAAGGCAATCAATAACAACAACAACAACAAGAACTGGCCTAGTGCTAAGAACTTGCACTGCCAACCCAAAGGCACGCAAGTGTGAATCCACCAGTTGCTCCACAGAGGAGGAAAGCCAATGATGAGTTAGTTCTGATTTGACAGTACATAACAACAACATTAAGTAATACCATATATACTATAACATACCATTTATACTATAATATTGTTGTTGTGTGCTGTTGAACTGGAACTGACCCATTGCTGACTGTCCAGAGAGAGTCAGAGACAATAAATTACATGGGAGGAGATTGTCCATCCTTCTCCCACAGAGCAGCTGATGGATTTGAACCTTGTTCCTTCAAAATTGAAGCACGGATTCTTACTATTAGGCCGCCAGAGCTCCCTAACATTAGTAGTCCTATATAAAATAGTGGGAGTAGGGGGTATCAGAACCATATTAAACTTGACGTGACCTTGATTGACATTATCTCTCAAGTCGGACCCTAACTCTAACCCTATCAAAGTGATGGTCATACATACCTATTATCCAACCTTTTTAACAACTCTGACCCAGATGTTCCTCCCATGTACTAGCTCATTTCCTGGGTTCAATAATCTATTGAATAGCCCCCCCCCCCCCATAAAGATCTTAAAGAACATATATAGAGTTAGCAATTTATTTAAGAAATAATAGCACAGGAAACAACTCAGAGGCAGGAAACATGCAAGCAGAAGCTTCCCTTTTTCAGTGCAAGGCATTGCTCTCAGCTATGCAGGCCTTCTCTTGGCCTTCTTGGCCAGGTGCTTCTTGGCCCTGCCATCTGTTACTGCTGGCTCTGCCACCGGGCCTCTTCTGGGCCTGTTGCTGTTTAATTGTTACAGCTTTTGACCCACTGCAGCTCCTGTAGGTGGTTCTGTGCCTCTTTCTTTCTCTGCTTCTTCTTTTCCCTTTGTTCTGCTTTTCCTGCTTCTGTCTCCAAAAACCTCTGTGGGACTGGCTGTTTAAATACACAGACTCCTAGTAAATTTCATGGCATGATACCTCCCACTAGAGCCATGAACTATCTGTAGGATGTATTAGATTACAATTCACTTAATCTATATAGTTTATTAACCATTTTCAGCAAGGGGGCTATTAATCACAGGGCCGGCTGCAGCCCAGGGCCAGGCAGAAAGTATTAAACCATAGCTGTTTACAGCTTACCCAGGAAATGCCAATCAATATGGAAAAAAGTAACAAACCCTCTGGGATGAAGAACCAGGGCTATGGATTAGGTTTAACATCTCTTGAGCTGTTTTTCTAATGAACCAAGGCAAAAGTTCACATAAAGGAATTTATTGCACTATAATTATTTAACATTAAAATTTAAATGAGTATTTAATAGAATAAACATGTGAGAAGTCAATGTTTACTATTACCACTAAATAATATTAATATTAGCTTGAATACTAAGTTTTAATAAAATCTTATTAATAACTTTTTTGGTTTACTTAATAATCACCACCAGTCTGAGTTCCAGGCACTCATGTTCACAGAACCGAGTCCTGTATAAGTAAGGAGGTGGGATAAATCAATGATTCTGTTCTTCTGTCTTAGTGTGTCAGGGTGAACTGTCCAGGATTTTCTATTTAGTTGCCATAGCATGGTTTCTGTTTTTGTTCCTTTATCTACTTTCCATGGCTAAGTCTTAGTTAAGATCCTCATTAACTGTAACCTTTGGCTTAGAGACCCGGGAGTCATTTGGACTCCCCTTCCCCCTTCTCTTGGACCCAGTGTCTGATTTACCCAGAATCCTGTTGATTTAACCATCAAAGTAGATCTGGATTTTTTTCTCTGCACATCACTCACTACAGCCTTGATCCAAGGCCCTCTCATCTCTTGTTTGAATTGTTGTAATCACCTTTTAAACATGGTCCCTGCTCGTGCTTGAGAGTGAGCCTTGTAAAGTAAGATCTTGTCATTCCTGTGCTCAAATCTTGGCTCTGGTTCCCTCGGAGTAAAAGTGCAGGCTCCCTTCCCTAAATCAGACTTAGGTCTTCACTTGTTTCCTTGTTCGTGCTGTGGTAGACGTTGTTGTTAGGTGCCGTGGAGTCACTTCCAACTCAGAGCAGCCCATGGGCAGCAGGACAAAGCACTGCCTGCTCCTCCTGTGTCCTTCTCATAATCCCCGCTGTCTTTGAGTCCATTGTTTCCGTTTCTGTCAATTTATCTTATTGAGGGTCTTCTTTGTTTATTGCTCATCTATTTTTGCCAAGCCTGCTGTCCTTCTCTAGGAATTTGTCCTTTCAGACATATGAAGCCTCACCCTTCTCACTTCTGAGGAGCGTTTTGGCTGTGCTTCCATGATAAACTTACTTGTTCTTATGGCATTCCATGGTATATTTAGTACTCTTTGGCAACATCATAATTCCAAGACATCATTTTTCTTGCACACAGGGCAACTGGAAATACAGTAACTTGGACCAGCCACATTTTAGTCTTCAAAGTGACATTTTTGCGTTTTGGTTTTTTTTTTTAAAAATATGATACTGAAATCTTTTACAGAGTTTTCCCAGTGGTAGATATTATTTGATTTTTTGACTTCTTCTGCCAGGGATGTTGATTGTGGATCGAGGTGGAATGAAGGGTTTGATAATGTCCATCTTTTCTTCATTTTTTTAAAAATTTTATTAATTTTAATGAACATTTACAGAGATTTGGGGTTTTCATTCATTCATTGTTGCATTATTTTCTCTACCCTCCTCCCCAGTTCATTCTTTCCCCCCCCCCCCTTGAAAGTCTGTTTTAATTGTCCAGTTGCTACAGTGATTGTCAAAGCCAGTTCTGATTAATCTCCTTTGTCAGTGTGTCCTTTGCCATTCCCTATCACTCCTCCTTGAGAGAGACTTCACCCTGATTCATAAGGAAAAGGGGACAGCGTATTCTCTTAGCTACTTCCTGCTGTAAAGGGACGCTGTAGGTTTCAGGCTTTTCTTCATTTTTAATGATGTTACTTATTAATATCTTTATGAAGACTTGGTTTTCTTTATAAATGATTTGAGTTTGCTTTAAGAAAACTCATCTGCAATCCTATTGCTTCATTCTTGCTCTCGTATAGTCCAGCTTCTCACATTATTTGTTCCAAATTTACCAAACTCTTTTTTTGCTGTTTCTACAACACTCTTGGGTAGCTCTTCTGGTGGTTTAGTGGAAAGAAATTTGCTTTCACACCAAAGGCACTTGTCTCAAAGGCACCAGCTGCTCCATGGGAGAGCCAGTCTCATCCCCTGCAAATTACTGCCTCTGAAAACCTGCTGCAGGGGCAGCTCTGAGTTGGTTCCAACTTGACAGCACATAACAACAGCAACAATAAAATGCTCTTGGCACACTCTTGCCTTAATGCTTTTCTCTGACTGCTTCCTCTGTGTCATTGATTGAGTTGTGTCCCCTCCTAAAATATGTCTGTATTATGATGTAATGTGGAAGTTATGTAACAAGCCTCCATGATCTGATAAAACAAATGGTTGTAAAGGGGTTAAGGGTTGGTGACAATACCTCAGCATGACCTAGTAAGAAAGTCTGGAAGCAGAGTACATCATTTGAACCCATTTTCCTGGCCTGGGAAACTTCTGGCACTAGGAGTCATAGAGAGAAAGCTTTCCCCTAGAGCCAGCACTCTACATTTGGATGTTTAGCCTCATATAACTCAGTGGGCTCTGGTGGCCTATTGGAAAAGGAGCTGCACTGCCAACCCAAAGGCATAAGGTTCAAATCCAGTAGCTGCTTCATGGGGAAAAGATGAGCAATCTCCTCTTATACAATTTATTGCCTTTGGAAACAGCTCTGAGTCATCCCAACTCAATAGCACATAGCATTAACAACAGCCTCATAAACTGTAATAGGATCAACTTCTGTTTGTGAAAGCCATCTGCTTACAGTATCTCTGATAACATTAATACCTAAGACACTTCCTGGAAGGTCTTTTTCTCTGTCTCTTACTTTCTTCTTTTTTTTTTTCTATGAGTCGCAGGCGA